TGTTACTCACTCACTCACTCACCCACTCACTCACTCACCCACTCACTAACTCACCCACACACTCACCCACTCACTCACTCACCCACCCACCCACTCACCCACCCACACACTCACGGGTGTAGCAGGTGATCTAGCAGCACGTCATAACCGTAGAGCTGGAAGCAGTGTTTGTTACTCACTCACTCACCCACTCACTCACCCACCCACCCACTCACTCACTCACCCACCCACTCACGCACCCACCCACTCACCCACTCACCCACCCACTCACCCACCCACTCACCCACCCACCCACTCACCCACTCACCCACTCACTCACCCACTCACTCACCCAACCACCCACCCACTCACGGGTGTAACAGGTGATCTAGCAGCACGTCATAACCGTAGAGCTGGAAGCAGTGTTTGTTACTCACTCACTCACCCACTAACTGACCCACCCACACACCCACCCACCCACTCACGGGTGTAACACGTGATCTAGCAGCACGTCATAACCGTAGAGCTGGAAGCAGTGTTTGTTACTCACTCACTCACCCACTCACTCACCCACTCACTCACCCACCCACACACTCACCCACTCACCCACCCACTCACCCATTCACCCACCCACCCACTCACCCACACACCCACCCACTCAGGGGTGTAGCAGGTGATCTAGCAGCACGTCATAACCGTAGAGCTGGAAGCAGTGTTTGTTACTCACTCACTCACCCACCCACTCACCCACCCACCCACTCACTCACTCACCCACCCACTCACCCACCCACCCACTCACCCACCCACCCACCCACTCACCCACCCACCCACACACTCACGGGTGTAGCAGGTGATCTAGCAGCACGTCATAACCGTAGAGCTGGAAGGAGTGTTTGTTACTCACTCACTCACTCACCGACTCACCCACCCACCCACCCACTCACTCACTCACCCACCCACCCACTCACTCACTCACTCACCCACTCACCCACTCACCCACCCACCCACCCACTCACTCACTCACCCACCCACCCACCCACTCACCCACCCACCCACCCACTCACTCACTCACCCACTCACCCACCCACCCACCCACTCACTCACTCACCCACTCACCCACTCACCCACCCACCCACTCACTCACTCACCCACTCACCCACTCACCCACTCACTCACTCACTCACCCACTCACCCACTCACTCACTCACCCACCCACCCACTCACCCACTCACCCACTCACTCACTCACCCACCCACCCACACACTCACGGGTGTAACAGGTGATCTAGCAGCACGTCATAACCGTAGAGCTGGAAGCAGTGTTTGTTACTCACTCACTCACTCACCCACTCACTCACCAACCCACCCACTCACTCACTCACTCACCCACCCACTCACCCACCCACCCACCCACTCACCCACCCACCCACCCACTCACCCACCCACTCACCCACTCACCCACCCACCCACCCACTCACCCACCCACCCACTCACGGGTGTAGCAGGTGATCTAGCAGCACGTCATAACCGTAGAGCTGGAAGCAGTGTTTGTTACTCACTCACTCACTCACCCACTCACTCACCCACCCACCCACTCACTCACTCACTCACCCACCCACTCACCCACCCACCCACCCACTCACCCACCCACCCACCCACTCACCCACCCACCCACACACTCACGGGTGTAGCAGGTGATCTAGCAGCACGTCATAACCGTAGAGCTGGAAGCAGTGTTTGTTACTCACTCACTCACTCACCCACTCACCCACTCACTCACTCACCCACTCACCCACTCACCCACTCACTCACTCACCCACTCACCCACCCACTCACCCACCCACTCACCCACCCACCCACTCACCCACCCACCCACTCACCCACCCACCCACACACTCACGGGTGTAGCAGGTGATCTAGCAGCACGTCATAACCGTAGAGCTGGAAGCAGTGTTTGTTACTCACTCACTCACTCACCCACTCACTCACCCACCCACTCACCCACTCACTCACCCACTCACTCACCCACCCACTCACCCACCCACTCACCCACCCACCCACCCACTCACCCACCCACCCACCCACTCACCCACCCACCCACCCACACACTCACGGGTGTAGCAGGTGATCTAGCAGCACGTCATAACCGTAGAGCTGGAAGCAGTGTTTGTTACTCACTCACTCACCCACTCACCCACCCACTCACCCACTCACCCACCCACCCACCCACTCACCCACCCACCCACTCACCCACCCACCCACACACTCACGGGTGTAGCAGGTGATCTAGCAGCACGTCATAACCGTAGAGCTGGAAGCAGTGTTTGTTACTCACTCACTCACTCACCCACTCACTCACCCACTCACTAACTCACCCACCCACTCACCCACTCACTCACTCACCCACCCACCCACCCACTCACCCACCCACCCACTCACGGGTGTAGCAGGTGATCTAGCAGCACGTCATAACCGTAGAGCTGGAAGCAGTGTTTGTTACTCACTCACTCACCCACTCACTCACTCACTCACCCACTCACTAACTCACCCACCCACTCACCCACTCACTCACTCACCCACCCACCCACTCACCCACCCACCCACCCACTCACGGGTGTAGCAGGTGATCTAGCAGCACGTCATAACCGTAGAGCTGGAAGCAGTGTTTGTTACTCACTCACTCACCCACTCACTCACCCACCCACCCACTCACTCACTCACTCACCCACCCACTCACCCACCCACCCACTCACCCACTCACCCACCCACTCACCCACCCACTCACCCACCCACCCACTCACCCACTCACCCACTCACTCACCCACTCACTCACCCACCCACCCACTCACCCACCCACCCACTCACCCACCCACCCACACACTCACGGGTGTAACAGGTGATCTAGCAGCACGTCATAACCGTAGAGCTGGAAGCAGTGTTTGTTACTCACTCACTCACCCACTCACCCACTCACCCACCCACTCACCCACCCACTCACCCACCCACCCACTCACCCACCCACTCACCCACCCACCCACCCACCAACCCACCCACCCACCCACTCACGGGTGTAGCAGGTGATCTAGCAGCACGTCATAACCGTAGAGCTGGAAGCAGTGTTTGTCGCTGATGATGACTCCGCTGACGCTCCGCAGGCTGGCCACGAAGGTCGCCTCCATGGCGGTGAAGACGGCGGCTGTGGCGGCCTCGCCGTGCCGGGCGCTTAGGTAGCGGCGTAGGCTCAGCAGGCTCCACTTGCAGCCCTGGGGGCGGCACGGGGGTCACGGGGGAGGAGTCACGGGGGAGGAGTCACGGGGGAGGAGTCACGGGGGAGGAGTCACGGGGGAGGAGTCATGGGGGAGTGGTCATGGGGGAGGAGTCACGGGGTAGGAGTCACGGGGGAGGAGTCACGGGGGAGTGGTCATGGGGGAGGAGTCACGGGGGAGGAGTCATGGGGGAGGAGTCATGGGGGAGTGGTCATGGGGGAGGAGTCACGGGGGAGGGGTCATGGGGGAGGAAGTCATGGAGGAGTGGTCATGGGGGAGGTCATGGGGGAGGTCACGGGGGAGGGGTCATGGGGGAGGTGACGGGGGAGGTCATGGGGGAGGAGTCATGGGGGAGGGGTCATGGGGGAGGAGTCACGGGGGAGGAGTCACGGGGGAGGAGTCATGGGGGAGGAGTCATGGGGGAGGGGTCACGGGGGAGGGGTCATGGGGGAGGAGTCATGGGGGAGGGGTCACGGGGGAGGGGTCATGGGGGAGTGATCATGGGGGAGTGGTCATGGGGGAGGAGTCATGGGGGAGGAGTCACGGGGGAGTGGTCATGGGGAGGAGTCATGGGGGAGGAGTCACGGGGGAGGAGTCACGGGGGAGGAGTCACGGGGGAGGAGTCATGGGGGAGGAGTCATGGGGGAGGAGTCATGGGGGAGGAGTCACGGGGGAGGAGTCATGGGGGAGTGGTCATGGGGGAGGAGTCATGGGGGAGGGGTCATGGGGGAGGGGTCATGGGGGAGGGGTCACGGGGGAGGGGTCACGGGGGAGGGAGGGAGTCACGGGGGAGGAGTCATGGGGGAGGGAGTCACGGGGGAGGAGTCATGGGGGAGGGGTCACGGGGGAGGAGTCATGGGGGAGGGGTCATGGGGGAGGAGTCATGGGGGAGGGAGTCATGGGGAGGGGTCACGGGGGAGGGTCAAGGGGGAGGGGTCACGGGGGAGGAGTCACTGGGGGAGGTGATGGGGGAGGAGTCATGGGGGAGGAGTCCATGGGGGAGGAGTCATGGGGAGTGGTCCATGGGGGAGGAGTCAAGGGGGAGGAGTCATGGGGGAGGAGTCATGGGGGAGGCGTTATGGGGGAGGAGTCATGGGGAGGAGTCATGGGGGAGGGAGTTATGGGGGAGGAGTCATGGGGAGGAGTCACGGGGGAGGAGCATGGGGGAGGAGTCATGGGGAGGGTCACGGGGGAGGGTCATGGGGGAGGTGATGGCGGAGGAGTCACGGGGGAGGGGTCATGGGGGAGGAGTCATGGGGGAGGAGTCATGGGGGAGGAGTCATGGGGGAGGAGTCATGGGGGAGGTGTCACGGGGGAGGAGTCACGGGGGAGGAGTCATGGGGAGAGTCATGGGGGAGGAGTCATGGGGAGGAGTCACGGGGGAGGAGTTCACGGGGGAGTCATGGGGGAGGAGTCATGGGGGAGGAGTCATGGGGGAGGAGTCACGGGGGAGGAGTCATGGGGGAGGAGTCATGGGGGAGGAGTCATTGGGGGAGGAGTCATGGGGGAGGAGTCATGGGGGAGGAGTCACGGGGAGGAGTCATGGGGGAGGAGTCACGGGGGAGGAGTCATGGGGGAGGAGTCACGGGGGAGGAGTGATGGGAAAGGAGTCATGGGGAGGGGTCATGGGGGAGGGGTCACGGGGGAGGAGTCATGGGGGAGGGGTCATGGGGGAGGAGTCATGGGGGAGGAGTCATGGGGGAGTGGTCATGGGGGAGGAGTCATGGGGGAGGTGATGGGGGAGGAGTCATGGGGGAGGAGTCACGGGGGAGGAGTCATGGGGGAGGAGTCAGGGGGGAGGAGTTATGGGGGAGGAGTCATGGGGGAGGAGTCATGGGGGAGGAGTCATGGGGGAGGAGTCATGGGGGAGTGGTCATGGGGGAGGTCATGGGGGAGGTCACGGGGGAGGGGTCATGGGGGAGGTGACGGGGGAGGTCATGGGGAGGAGTCATGGGGGAGGGGTCATGGGGGAGGAGTCACGGGGGAGGAGTCACGGGGGAGGAGTCACGGTGGGAGGGGTCATGGGGGAGGAGTCATGGGGGAGGGGGTCACGGGGGAGGGGTCATGGGGGAGTGATCATGGGGAGTGGTCATGGGGGAGGAGTCATGGGGGAGGAGTCACGGGGGAGTGGTCATGGGGGAGGAGTCATGGGGGAGGAGTCACGGGGGAGGAGTCACGGGGGAGGAGTCACGGGGGAGGAGTCATGGGGGAGGAGTCATGGGGGAGGAGTCAGGGGGGAGGAGTCACGGGGGAGGAGTCATGGGGGGAGTGGTCATGGGGGAGGAGTCATGGGGGAGGGGTCATGGGGGAGGGGTCATGGGGGAGGAGTCATGGGGGAGGGGTCACGGGGGAGGAGTCACGGGGGAGGAGTCATGGGGGAGGAGTCACGGGGGAGGAGTCATGGGGGAGGGGTCACGGGGGAGGAGTCATGGGGGAGGGGTCATGGGGGAGGAGTCATGGGGGAGGAGTCATGGGGGAGGGGTCACGGGGGAGGGGTCACGGGGGAGGGGGTCATGGGGGAGGAGTCATGGGGGAGGTGATGGGGGAGGAGTCATGGGGGAGGAGTCATGGGGGAGGAGTCATGGGGGAGTGGTCATGGGGGAGGAGTCACGGGGGAGGAGTCATGGGGGAGGAGTCATGGGGGAGGAGTCATGGGGGAGGAGTTATGGGGGAGGAGTCATGGGGGAGGAGTCATGGGGGAGGAGTCACGGGGGAGGAGTCATGGGGGAGGAGTCACGGGGGAGGAGTCATGGGGGAGGAGTCATGGGGGAGGAGTCATGGGGGAGGAGTCATGGGGGAGGAGTCATGGGGGAGGAGTCATGGGGGAGGAGTCATGGGGGAGGAGTCATGGGGGAGGAGTCACGGGGAGGAGTCATGGGGGAGGAGTCATGGGGGAAGAGTCATGGGGGAGGGGTCACGGGGGAGGAGTCATGGGGAGGTGATGGCGGAGGAGTCACGGGGGAGGGGTCATGGGGGAGGAGTCATGGGGGAGGAGTCATGGGGGAGGAGTCATGGGGGAGGAGTCATGGGGGAGGTGTCACGGGGGAGGAGTCACGGGGGAGGAGTCATGGGGGAGGAGTCACGGGGGAGGAGTCATGGGGAGGAGTCATGGGGGAGGAGTCATGGGGGAGGGGTCACGGGGGAGGAGTCATGGGGAGGAGTCATGGGGGAGGAGTCATGGGGGAGGGAGTCATGGGGGAGGAGTCATGGGGGAGGTGTCACGGGGGAGGAGTCATGGGGGAGGAGTCACGGGGGAGGAGTGATGGGAAAGGAGTCATGGGGGACGGGGTCATGGGGGGAGGAGTCATGGGGGAGGAGTCATGGGGGAGGAGTCATGGGGAGGAGTCACGGGGGAGGAGTCATGGGGGAGGAGTCACGGGGGAGGAGTCATGGGGGAGGAGTCACGGGGGAGGAGTCATGGGGGAGGAGTCATGGGGGAGGAGTCATGGGGGAGGTGATGGGGGAGGAGTCATGGGGGAGGAGTCACGGGGGAGGAGTCACGGGGGAGGAGTCAGGGGGGAGGAGTCATGGGGGAGGAGTCATGGGGGAGGAGTCATGGGGGAGGAGTCATGGGGGAGTGGTTCATGGGGGAGGTCATGGGGGAGGTCACGGGGGAGGGGTCATGGGGGAGGTGACGGGGGAGGTCATGGGGGAGGAGTCATGGGGGAGGGGTCATGGGGGAGGAGTCACGGGGGAGGAGTCACGGGGGAGGAGTCACGGGGGAGTGGTCATGGGGGAGGAGTCATGGGGGAGGAGTCACGGGGGAGTGGTCATGGGGGAGGAGTCATGGGGGAGGAGTCACGGGGGAGGAGTCACGGGGGAGGAGTCACGGGGGAGGAGTCATGGGGGAGGGGTCACGGGGGAGGAGTCACGGGGGAGGAGTCACGGGGGAGGAGTCATGGGGGAGTGGTCATGGGGGAGGAGTCATGGGGGAGGGGTCATGGGGGAGGGGTCATGGGGGAGGAGTCATGGGGGAGGGGTCACGGGGGAGGAGTCACGGGGGAGGAGTCATGGGGGAGGAGTCACGGGGGAGGAGTCATGGGGGAGGGGTCACGGGGGAGGAGTCATGGGGGAGGGGTCATGGGGAGGAGTCATGGGGGAGGAGTCATGGGGGAGGGGTCACGGGGAGGGGTCACAGGGGAGGGGTCACGGGGGAGGAGTCATGGGGGAGGTGATGGGGGAGGAGTCATGGGGGAGGAGTCATGGGGGAGGAGTCATGGGGGAGTGGTCATGGGGGAGGAGTCACGGGGGAGGAGTCATGGGGGAGGAGTCATGGGGGAGGAGTTATGGGGGAGGAGTCATGGGGGAGGAGTCATGGGGGAGGAGTTATGGGGGAGGAGTCATGGGGGAGGAGTCACGGGGGAGGAGTCATGGGGGAGGAGTCATGGGGGAGGGGTCACGGGGGAGGAGTCATGGGGGAGGTGATGGCGGAGGAGTCACGGGGGAGGGGTCAGGGGGGAGGAGTCATGGGGGAGGAGTCATGGGGGAGGAGTCATGGGGGAGGAGTCATGGGGGAGGTGTCACGGGGGAGGAGTCACGGGGGAGGAGTCATGGGGGAGGAGTCATGGGGGAGGATTCATGGGGGAGGAGTCACGGGGAGGAGTCACGGGGGAGTCATGGGGGAGGAGTCATGGGGGAGGAGTCATGGGGGAGGAGTCACGGGGGAGGAGTCATGGGGGAGGAGTCATGGGGGAGGAGTCATGGGGGAGGAGTCATGGGGGAGGAGTCATGGGGGAGGAGTCACGGGGGAGGAGTCATGGGGGAGGAGTCACGGGGGAGGAGTCATGGGGGAGGAGTCACGGGGGAGGAGTCATGGAAAGGAGTCATGGGGAGGGGTCATGGGGGAGGGGTCACGGGGGAGGAGTCATGGGGGAGGGGTCATGGGGGAGGAGTCATGGGGGAGGAGTCATGGGGGAGTGGTCATGGGGGAGGAGTCATGGGGGAGGTGATGGGGGAGGAGTCATGGGGGAGGAGTCATGGGGGAGGAGTCATGGGGGAGGAGTCATGGGGGAGGAGTCATGGGGGAGGAGTCACGGGGGAGGAGTCACGGGGGAGGGGTCATGGGGGAGGAGTCATGGGGAGGGGTCATGGGGGAGGAGTTATGGGGGAGGGGTCATGGGGGAGGGGTCATGGGGGAGGAGTCATGGGGGAGGGGTCATGGGGGAGGAGTTATGGGGGAGGAGTCATGGGGGAGGAGTCACGGGGGAGGAGTCATGGGGGAGGGGTCATGGGGGAGGAGTCATGGGGGAGGAGTCATGGGGGAGGAGTCATGGGGGAGGAGTCATGGGGGAGGAGTCACGGGGGAGGAGTCATGGGGGAGGGGTCATGGGGAGGAGTCATGGGGGAGGGGTCATGGGGGAGGAGTCATGGGGGAGGAGTCATGGGGGAGGAGTCACGGGGGAGGAGTCACGGGGGAGGAGTCATGGGGGAGGGGTCATGGGGGAGGAGTCATGGGGGAGGGGTCATGGGGGAGGAGTCATGGGGAGGGGTCATGGGGGAGGTGACAGGGGAGGTCATGGGGGAGGAGTCATGGGGGAGGGGTCACGGGAAGGGGTCACGGGGGAGGGGTCACGGGGGAGGGATCACGGGGGCGGACATAGGGGAGAGAGGTAACGCAGTGGGGGAGGAGAGGGAGGGGGGAGGGAGGGGGGAGGGAGGGGAGGAGGGGGGAGGGAGGAGGGGAGAGGGAGGGAGGAGAGGAGGAGGAGGGGGAGGAGGGGGGAGGGAGGAGAGGGTGGAGGGAGGGGGGAGGGAGGTAGCCCACTTTGTCCGGGTTGTAGTCTGGAGCGGTCTTCTGAATGGCGACGTTGGTGAGGTGGACGTCTGGAACGCTGTGTCAAGGCACAGACCCAACGTGTGACATCGCCGCCATCCTCACCGTCACCATCCTCACTGTCACCATCATCACCATCATCACCATCCTCACCATCACCATCCTCACCATCACGTTCACCATCGTCAACATCGTCAACATCCTCACCATCCTCACCATCGTCAACATCGTCACCATCCTCACCATCACCATCCTCACCATCACGTTCACCATCGTCAACATCGTCAACATCGTCACCATCCTCACCATCGTCAACATCGTCACCATCATCACCATCCTCACCATCACCATCCTCACCATCACGTTCACCATCGTCAACATCGTCAACATCCTCACCATCCTCACCATCGTCAACATCGTCACCATCCTCACCATCACCATCCTCACCATCACGTTCACCATCGTCAACATCGTCAACATCCTCACCATCCTCACCATCGTCAACATCGTCACCATCATCACCATCCTCACCATCACCATCCTCACCATCACGTTCACCATCGTCAACATCGTCAACATCCTCACCATCCTCACCATCGTCAACATCGTCACCATCATCACCGTCACCATCGTCACCATCCTCACCATCCTCACCATCCTCACCATCGTCAACATCCTCACCATCACCATCCTCACCATCCTCACCATCACCATCCTCACCATCCTCACCATCCTCACCATCACGTTCACCATCGTCAACATCGTCAACATCGTCACCGCCATGTTCACCATCGTCACGGTGATCGTGGATGATGGTAGTGGTGATGGTGACGACGACGATGATGATGGTGGTGGTGACGGTGGTAGTGACGGTGATGATGGTGGTGGTGGTGATGGCGACGGTGGTGGTGGTGATGGTGGTGGTGACGGTGGTGGTGACGGTGGTGGTGACGGTGATGATGTCGATGATGGTGGTGGTGGTGACGGTGGTGGTGACGGTGACGATGGTGACGACGATGATGATGGTGGTGGTGGTGGTGACGGTGGTAGTGACGGTGATGACGATGGTGGTGACAGTGACGACAGTGATGACGGTGACGATGGTGACGGTGACGATGGTGACGACGGTGATGACGGTGATGGTAACGATGGTGACGATGGTGGTGATGGTGGTGGCGACAGTGGTGACGACGACGGTGATGACGACGATGATGGTGGTGGTGGTGATGATGATGGTGATGATGGTGACGACGATGATGGTGATGACAATGATGGTGACGGTGGTGACGGTGATGATGGTGACGACGATGATGGTGACGACGATGATGGTGACGGTGGTGATGGTGACGAGGGTGATGACGACGAGGAGGAGGAGGATACAGTTGTCGTCGATGCAGTCGAGGGAGAAGCGAGCGCTGGAGAATCGTGCGAAGCCTTCACGGTACAACCACGCTCGCAGAGGAACAAACTGAGAAGCAGTACACACAGCACACACACACTGTACACACACTGTACACACAGTACACACACAGTACACACTGTACACACAGCACACACACTGTACACACACAGTACACACACAGTACACACACACAGTACACACACACAGTACACACACTGCACACACACTGCACACACTGTACACACAGCACACACTGTACACACTGTACACACACAGTACACACACATTACACACAGCACACACCCCACACACACTGTACACACTGTACACACAGCACACACTGTACACACACTGTACACACTGTGCACACAGCACACACACAGTACACACATATACAGTACACACACAGTGCACACTGTACACACACCGTACACACACAGTACACACACACAGTACACACACACCGCACACACACTGCACACACTGTACACACAGTACACACACAGCACACACTGTACACACTGTACACACAGCACACACTGCACACACCGTACACACAGTACACACACAGTACACACACACAGTACACACACAGTACACACACAGCACACACACTGTACACACACTGTACACACTGTACGCACACCGTACACACAAAGCACACACTGTACACTGTACACACTATACACACACAGTACACACACTGTACACACTGTACACACACAGTACACACAGTACACACACAGTACGCACACAGCACACACTGTGCACACACAGTACACACAGTACACACACAGTACACATAGTACACACAGTATACACACTGTACACAGTACACACATACAGTACACACACAGTACACACACAGTACACACACACAGTACACACACACAGTACACACACACAGGACACACACAGTACACACACACAGTACACACACACAGTACACACACACACAGTACACACACACAGTACACACACAGTACACACAGTACACACAGTACACACACACAGTACACACACACACAGTACACACACACAGTACACACACACAGTACACACACAGTACACACACACAGTACACACACAGTACACACACAGTACACACACACAGTACACACACAGTACACACACACAGTACACACACACAGTACACACACAGTACACACACAGTACACACACACATACAGTACACACACACAGTACACACACACACACAGTACACACACACACAGTACACACACACAGTACACACACACAGTACACACACAGTACACACACACAGTACACACACAGTACACACACAGTACACACACACAGTACACACACACAGTACACACACAGTACACACACACAGTACACACACACAGTACACACACAGTACACACACAGTACACACACATACAGTACACACACACAGTACACACACACACACAGTACACACACACACAGTACACACACACAGTACACACACAGTACACACACAGTACACACACACAGTACACACACAGTACACACACAGTACACACACAGTACACACACACAGTACACACACACACAGTACACACAGTACGCATACACACACAGTACACACACACAGTACACACACACAGTACACACACACAGTACACACACACAGTACACACACAGTACACACACACACAGTACACACACACAGTACACACAGTACACACACACAGTACACACACACAGTACACACACAGTACACACACACAGTACACACACAGTACACACAGTACACACACACAGTACACACACACACAGTACACACACACACAGTACACACACACAGTACACACAGCACACACAGTACACACAGTACACACACACACAGTACACACACAGTACACACACACACACAGTACACACAGTACACACACACACAGTACACACACAGTACACACACACAGTACACACAGTACACACACACAGTACACACACACACAGTACACACACACAGTACACACCACACAGTACACACACACACAGTACACACACACAGTACACACAGTACACACTGTACACACAGTTCACACACACACAGTACACACACAGTACACACACACACAGTACACACACACACAGTACACACACACACACACAGTACACACACAGTACACACACAGTACACACAGTACACACACAGTACACATACACACACAGTACACACACAGTACACACACACAGTGATGATGATGGTGATGATGGTGATGACGATGATGGTGATGACAATGATGGTGACGGTGGTGACGGTGATGATGGTGACGACGATGATGGTGACGACGATGATGGTGACGGTGGTGATGGTGACGAGGGTGATGACGACGAGGAGGAGGAGGATACAGTTGTCGTCGATGCAGTCGAGGGAGAAGCGAGCGCTGGAGAATCGTGCGAAGCCTTCACGGTACAACCACGCTCGCAGAGGAACAAACTGAGAAGCAGTACACACAGCACACACACACTGTACACACACTGTACACACAGTACACACACAGTACACACTGTACACACAGCACACACACTGTACACACACAGTACACACACAGTACACACACACAGTACACACACAGTACACACACTGCACACACACTGCACACACTGTACACACAGCACACACTGTACACACTGTACACACACAGTACACACACAGTACACACACAGCACACACCCCACACACACTGTACACACTGTACACACCGCACACACTGTACACACACTGTACACACTGTGCACACAGCACACACACAGTACACACATATACAGTACACACACAGTGCACACTGTACACACACCGTACACACACAGTACACACACACAGTACACACACACCGCACACACACTGCACACACTGTACACACAGCACACACACAGCACACACTGTACACACTGTACACACAGCACACACTGCACACACCGTACACACAGTACACACACAGTACACACACACAGTACACACACAGTACACACAGCACACACACTGTACACACACTGTACACACTGTACGCACACCGTACACACGCAGCACACACTGTACACTGTACACACTATACACACAGTACACACACTGTACACACTGTACACACACAGTACACACAGTACACACACAGTACGCACACAGCACACACTGTGCACACACAGTACACACAGTACACACACAGTACACATAGTACACACAGTATACACACTGTACACAGTACACACATACAGTACACACACAGTACACACAGTACACACACACAGTACACACACACAGTACACACACACAGGACACACACAGTACACACACACAGTACACACACACAGTACACACACACACAGCACACACACACAGTACACACACAGTACACACAGTACACACAGTACACACACACAGTACACACACACACAGTACACACACACAGTACACACACACAGTACACACACAGTACACACACACAGTACACAACACAGTACACACACAGTACACACACACAGTACACACACACAGTACACACACAGTACACACACACAGTACACACACAGTACACACACAGTACACACACATACAGTACACACACACACAGTACACACACACACAGTACACACACACAGTACACACACAGTACACACACACAGTACACACACACAGTACACACACAGTACACACACACACAGTACACACACAGTACACACACACAGTACACACACACACAGTACACACACACAGTACACACAGTACGCATACACACACAGTACACACACACAGTACACACACACAGTACACACACACAGTACACACACACAGTACACACACACAGTACACACACAGTACACACACACACAGTACACACAGTACACACACACAGTACACACACACAGTACACACACACAGTACACACACAGTACACACACACAGTACACACACAGTACACACAGTACACACACACAGTACACACACACACAGTACACACACACACAGTACACACACACAGTACACACAGCACACACAGTACACACAGTACACACACACACAGTACACACACACACACACACACACAGTACACACAGTACACACACACACAGTACACACACAGTACACACACACAGTACACACAGTACACACACACAGTACACACACACACAGTACACACACACAGTACACACACAGTACACACACACAGTACACACACACAGTACACACACACACACAGTACACACACACAGTACACACACACAGTACACACAGTACACACTGTACACACAGTTCACACACACACAGTACACACACAGTACACACACACACACAGTACACACACACACAGTACACACAGTACACACACACACACACACAGTACACACACAGTACACACACAGTACACACAGTACACACACAGTACACATACACACACAGTACACACACAGTACACACAGTACACACACACAGTACACACACACAGTACACACACAGTACACACAGTACACACACAGTACACACACACACACAGTACACACACAGTACACACAGTACACACACACACAGTACACACACACACAGTACACACACACACATGACACACACACACAGTACACCACAGTATACACACACACACACAGTACACACACACACAGTACACACACAGTACACACACACAGTACACACACACAGTACACACACACAGTACACACACAGTACACACACACAGTACACACACACAGTACACACACACACACACAGTACACACACAGTACACACACACAGTACACACACAGTACACACACACACAGTACACACACAGTACACACACACAGTACACACACACAGTACACACACACAGTACACACACACACAGTACACACACACAGTACACACAGTACACACTGTACACACAGTTCACACACACACAGTACACACACAGTACACACACACACACACTACACACACACACAGTACACACAGTACACACACACAGTACACACACAGTACACACACAGTACACACAGTACACACACAGTACACATACACACACAGTACACACACAGTACACACAGTACACACACACAGTGATGATGATGGTGATGATGGTGACGACGATGATGGTGATGACAATGATGGTGACGGTGGTGACGGTGATGATGGTGACGACGATGATGGTGATGACGATGATGGTGACGACGATGATGGTGACGGTGATGATGGTGACGAGGGTGATGACGACGAGGAGGAGGAGGATACAGTTGTCGTCGATGCAGTCGAGGGAGAACCGAGCGCTGGAGAATCGTGCGAAGCCTTCACGGTACAACCACGCTCGCAGAGGAAACAAACTGAGAAGCAGTACACACAGCACACACACACTGTACACACACTGTACACACAGTACATACACTGTACACACTGTACACACAGCACACACACTGTACACACACTGTACACACACAGTACACACACAGTACACACACACAGTACACACACACAGTACACACACTGCACACACACTGCACACACTGTACACACAGCACACACTGTACACACTGTACACACACAGTACACACACAGTACACACACAGCACACACCCCCACACACTGTACACACTGTACACACCGCACACACTGTACACACACTGTACACACTGTGCACACAGCACACACACAGTACACACATATACAGTACACACACAGTGCACACTGTACACACACCGTACACACACCAGTACACACACACAGTACACACACAACCGCACACACACCTGCACACACTGTACACACAGTACACACACAGCACACACTGTACACACTGTACACACAGCACACACTGCACACACCGTACACACAGTACACACACAGTACACACACACAGTACACACACAGTACACACACACAGCACACACACTGTACACACACTGTACACACTGTACGCACACCGTACACACACAGCACACACACTGTACACTGTACACACTATACACCACAGTACACACACTGTACACACTGTACACACACAGTACACACAGTACACACACAGTACGCACACAGCACACACTGTGCACACACAGTACACACAGTACACACACAGTACACATAGTACACACAGTATACACACTGTACACAGTACACACATACAGTACACACACAGTACACACAGTACACACACAGTACACACACACAGTACACACACACAGTACACACACACAGGACACACACAGTACACACACACAGTACACACACACAGTACACACACAGTACACACACACAGTACACACACAGTACACACAGTACACACAGTACACACACACAGTACACACACACACACAGTACACACACACAGTACACACACACAGTACACACACAGTACACACACACAGTACACACACAGTACACACCACAGTACACACACACAGTACACACACACAGTACACCCACAGTACACACACACAGTACACACACACAGTACACACACAGTACACACACATACAGTACACACACACACACAGTACACACACACACAGTACACACACACAGTACACACACAGTACACACACACAGTACACACACAGTACACACACAGTACACACACACAGTACACACACAGTACACACACACAGTACACACACACAGTACACACACACAGTACACACAGTACACATACACACACAGTACACACACACAGTACACACACACAGTACACACACAGTACACACACACAGTACACACACAGTACACACACACACAGTACACACAGTACACACACACAGTACACACAGTACACACACACAGTACACACACACAGTACACACACACAGTACACACACAGTACACACACACAGTACACACACAGTACACACAGTACACACACACAGTACACACACACACAGTACACACACACAGTACACACACACAGTACACACAGCACACACAGTACACACAGTACACACACACACAGTACACACACCGTACACACACACACACAGTACACACAGTACACACACACACACAGTACACACACACTACACACACACAGTACACACAGTACACACACACAGTACAACACACACACAGTACACACACACAGTACACACACAGTACACACACACAGTACACACACACAGTACACACACACACACAGTACACACACACACAGTACACACACACAGTACACACAGTACACACTGTACACACAGTTCACACACACACAGTACACACACAGTACACCACACACAACACAGTACACACACACACAGTACACACAGTACACACACACACACACACAGTACACACACAGTACACACACAGTACACACAGTACACACACAGTACACATACACACACAGTACACACACAGTACACACAGTACACACACACAGTACACACACACAGTACACACACAGTACACACAGTACACACACAGTACACACACACACACACAGTACACACACAGTACACACAGTACACACACACACAGTACACACACACATTACACACACACACATGACACACACACACAGTACACACAGTATATACACACACACACACACAGTACACACACACACAGTACACACACAGTACACACACACAGTACACACACACAGTACACACACACAGTACACACACACAGTACACACACACAGTACACACACAGTACACACACACACACAGTACACACAGTACACCACACACAGTACACACACACACAGTACACACACACAGTACACACAGTACACACACACAGTACACACACACACAGTACACACACACAGTACACACACAGTACACACACACAGTACACACACACAGTACACACACACACACAGTACACACACACACACAGTACACACACACAGTACACACAGTACACACACACACACAGTACACACACAGTACACACACACACAGTACACACACACACAGTACACACAGTACACACACACACACACAGTACACACACAGTACACACACAGTACACACAGTACACACACAGTACACATACACACACAGTACACACACAGTACACACAGTACACACACACAGTACACACACACACAGTACACACACAGTACACACAGTACACACACAGTACACACACACACAGTACACACACAGTACATACACACAGTACACACACACAGTACACACACACAGTACACACACACAGTACACACACACAGTACACACACACCACCCACCGATGTGACCAGGGACGTACACGCGGAGATCGAATTTCCTCCCTGCGGGGGACAGCGACGGAGTGAGTGGCACGGTCACGGTTCCTGATGTGGTGCTAGTTGGTAGTGCCAGAGCTCAAGTGGGGGCATTGACATCACACCGTCACGCAGTTACTCACACAGTTACACACTCACATAGTTACACACTTAGTCACACAGTCAAACAGTCACTCACTCACACACTCACACAGTTACACACTCACGCAGTTACACACACTTAGTCACACAGTTACACACTCACGCAGTTACACACTTAGTCACACAGTTACACAGATACACAGTCACTCACTTAGTCACTCAGTCACTCAGTCACACACTCACACAGTTACGCACTCACACAGTTACACACTCACACAGTTACACACTTAGTCACACAGTTACACACTCACATAGTTACACACTTAGTCACACAGTTACACAGTCACACAGTCACTCACTTAGTCACTCAGTCACTTAGTCACTCACTCACACAGTCACTCACTCACACACTCACTCAGTCATACAGTTACACAGTCACACACTCACTCAGTCACTCACCCCACACACCCACTCATCCACTCACACAGTCACTCACCCACACACCCACTCACCACCCATCCACACACCCACACACCCACCCATCCACACACCCACACACCCACAACACACCCACACACACACACCCACACACACACACCCACACACTCACTCACCCACTCACTCACCCACTCACTCACTCACCCACTCACTCTCACCCACTCACCCACTCACTCACTCACCCACACACACACCCACCCACACACTAACTCACTCACACAGTCACTCACCCACACACCCACTCACCCACTCACCCACCCACACACTCGCCCACTCACACACTAACTCACTCCACAGTCACTCACCCACCCACCCACCCCAACACCCACCCACACCCATCACACCCACCCACCACTGATGAGGTAGGGCTTCTCAATGTATCTCTGCACCACGTAATTCTCCACGGCGGCATCGCCTCGTCCCGTGCCTCCTCCGCCCGCACCGCATCCTGGCGCGCACCCAGCGGGCCGCCCTGGTTAATACCGCCGTTGCCACGACACAGTTGACCACCTCGCCTGGTCTACAGGAGGGTCGGCGAGTTCGATCTCGACCCTGACGACGCCTGCCGCTGCTGCTGCTGTATATTTGGACTCTGCGTCTCTCTCTCTCTCCTCATGATCATCATCACGGTGGCCAGGAGATGTTGACTACCTCGCCTGGTGCCGGACATGCAACTCTGTCGTGGACAGTGCCGTGGGGAGGAGGGCCAATTCCCATTGGCCTCTCCCCTCATGGCGTCTGTGACCACCACAGCAGCCAAATGGGGGCTCTGGACGGGTGCGAGTGGCTGGTAACCCCTCCACACCTTCAATTAATTACCACTAAACCACAAATGAAAATATATAACTAATAAGCTTGTGCCGGAGGCCCCGGGGGGACAGGCGTCTATGACGTCTCCTTGCCAAACCCCATTTGGCGGAGCCAGGAGATTGAATCTCTACCCTCGGGGCTCCTCCAGAAACAACGAAAAGCCACTTCGTGTGGCCACGTGGAATGTCCGAACGCTCACTGCGGAGGAGAGGCTGCCACTCCTCTGTCGGGAGCTGGACCGGTACCGCCTGGATCTCTGTGGCATTCAGGAGGTCCGGTGGACCGGCTCTGGCTCCTGCCACCATGAGGGGTGGACAGTCCTCTACTCGGGGCAGCAGACTACCAAACAACAGGTGTGTGGGTCTTCTTTTGAACAAAAGAATGAAGGGGGCGTGGAAGCGTGGCGGTGAGGTGTGGGAAGCTGTAAGCCCCAGGCTACTTTGGGCTCGCCTTCCCGTCAACCGGAGGCGAGGAATGGTGGTCGTGGTTACTTATACCCCCACCGAAGATGAACATCCGTGGAGTAATGCAGGCAAGGCCGATGAGTCAGGTGCCTTCTATGACCTCCTGTCACAGGTGGTGGCTAAAGTGGCCCCTCGGGATAGAGTCATCTCGTTGGGTGACTTCAATGCCCGAGTTGGTCATGATGCTGGCACCTGGTCTAGAGTGATTGGAGGGCATGGGCCGGATCAGCTCAATAACCACGGTAGGAGGCTGCTAGATTTTTGTGCAGCCCATGGGCTTGTAATTACCAACACGCTGTTCCGGCATCGGCGCATCCACGCAACATCATGGATGCATGCCGGGTCCAAGCAAGAACATCTGCTGGACGACAAAGTGACGGAACAGCGGATGCGAGCCCATGTCCTTGACACCAGGATCTACCGTGGAGCTGATCTGCCCTCTGACCATCGACTAGTCATCTGTAAGATGCACCTGCCATTCTTCCACTCCGGTGGTGGGTGTACACCCAGGACCCCATTCAAATCTAAGGTGGCCTGGTCTCAGCTAGCTGATGAAAGTTGCAAACTAGAATTTAATCATTGCTTTCGGCTGGGATTGACATCGTCCCGACTCCTCCTGATGTCGAGGGTAAATGGGTGAGGTTTAGGACTGTGACTCATGCAGCTGAAATGGCTGCTTTGGGTATGCGGTGCAGACCTCCCCAGAGGACTCTGTCTGACAGAGGAGGTGTTCAGGATGGTTGAGAAAAAGCGACAGGCCCACTGTCATCGGCTACAGAATCCCACGTCAGAGAATGAGGAGGCTTACCGCAGCCTTCGCTCGGAGGTTCGGAGAGCCGTGAGGCGCTGCAAGGATGGGTGGTGGTCGCGGGTTGCTGAGGAGATGGAGTCTGCCTCAGTGGCCCGCTATCACAAATCTCGATTTAACTCCATCAAAAAAGTAACTGCAGCGCCACACCTATTACCATCATTAGGGGAAAAAAACGGTGATCCAATCTCCGACCCCCAGGAACAGGTTTGCAGATTTGCTGAGCATTTCTGTGAGGTCCTGGGGAGGGAAAATCCCTCAGCCAGGAAAACATCGTGGCACAAAGTGAGGATGACCCTGCTGAGGCTGCGGTGCCTCAAATATTGGAAGAAGTCACCCCCTGTGAGTGGCTGGCTGAGGTGCCATCTGTTGAGGAAGTACTGAAGGCGATCCAGAGTCTGAGACAGGAAAGGCAACGGGCAGAGATGATCTCCCAAGCGAAATGCTGAGGGAGGGTGGCGTTTGTGCACAGACTGCCCTATATGACATCATAACAACAGTCTGGACCACTGGACGGGTTCCGCAGGATTGGAAGGATGCCTGGTGGTCCCCCTCTTTAAGAAGGGAGACCGCACAGACTGTAACAATTACAGGGGCATCTCCTCAGTTACTCAACATCGCCTTGCCAGGCACGCTGAGGAGAGGCATGCGGAGCCCCAATGCGGTTTCAGGAAAGGGCGGTCTGCACAGATGCCATATTTTCTGTCCGTCTGCTACAGCAGAGGTGTAGGGAATTCCAGCAAGACCTACATCTCTGCTTTATTGACCTGGTCAAGGCCTATGATACCATCAGTAGGCCTGGGCTCTGGGTTGTTCTTCGTGCTTTTGGAGTACCTGACCCTCTGCTCACGATCATTAAGGACCTTCATGATGGTGAGCGGGCCCGGGTAAAACTACGTGGCCGGGAGTCAGAGCCATTCCCTGTACACCTTGGGGTGCGACAGGGATGTCCTCTGGCTCCCACATTATTTAACATCTATTTTGACCACGTAGTTCGTGAAGCCTTCAATAGCTGTACCGGGGGAATCTCCATATGGTACAGATATAATGGGAGGCTGATCGATGCCCGGGTGCGGTCAAGGGATGGCTCTCTATTGGTCAACCACGTTATGTATGCTGATGATTTGGTAATAGCTGCTCATTCAGAGGAGGAGTTGGAGACGCTGCTGCTGAGACTGGAGCGTGCCACTAAGAGGTGGGGCCTTACAATCAGCCCCACCAAAACTAAGCACCTGCCTGGGTATTTTGTACCATCGGACACTCCACCCCCACAACTCCCAATCGGTGATGGCACAGTTGTGGAGAGAGTGGAGAGTTTCCCATACCTGGGCAGTGTGCTTATGACCGGCTCCAGTTTAACAGCAGAGGTCTCACTCCGAATCAGTCGAGCGGCAATATCTTTTCATCGGTTGCGTAACGCTGTGTGGAAGCTACCTGGTCTGTCGCTCCGCACTAAGCTTCAGGTCTTCTCGGCCACGGTCATTCCCTCCCTTCTCTACGCTTGCGAAACGTGGACCCCCCTAATGGAACATCTTCGCCGGTTAGAAACATTTAGGCTGGCCTGCCTATGATCCATCCTGGGTTTAACCATGCTGATTGTGTGAAGAGCTCACAAATCCTTGAAAGATCTGGGCACGATCCCATCGGTGAGCTCCTCCGGCAGGCAAGGCTGCGTTGGCTGGGTCATGTAGCCCGCATGCCCAGCCACCGCATGCCGAAACAGCTTTTGTTTCGGCCGGATCGAGGGGACTTAACGGGCGCGGCACGGGCTAGAGAAGAGATGGAATGATGTGGTACAGGAGGACGTGGAGCTGAGTGGACTTGCCGATGACCGGTACCAGCGGTGTCAAGATCGGCCTCTGTGGAGGAGGCTCGTGAAGGATGCTACTGGGCAGTTGGAGGCAGTCGCCCTCCAACAACAACGGAGGGCGGAGGAGCGACGCTCACAACAACTAGCGGAGCGCCGGGTTGCTAAAGCACAGCAGGTTGGCACAGTAGGGGCACAGGTGGTGCATCAGCCACAGTCATCTCAGTCATCTCAGTCAGTCGACCCGTGGCACCTGGGTCTGCCCCGTGACCTCCTGCCAGCGGGCGTTCGAC